ACTGCTCTTGGGGTGGGGGGCCCAGGATGCCCTCAGTGTTTCTGCTTCAGGTGCATGTCCTGGGGCTACCTCTGGGCTTGGGGAGACCTATGAGCATTCCATGTCTCTGAGCAGCCTTGCACCATGAGTGGGACATGCCATGTGGGGTGTCATGTAGGAAAAAGCTGTGGGATGGAGGTCACCCTGACCTGCCAGCCCAAGTGACAGGCTACCTCTGCAGGCTCAGCCGGAAGGTCCAGGAGAAGGAGAAGGTGATGGAGAGCCTGGAAGTGAAGCTGCAGGAGCGCTCTGAGTCCCCAGGTAGCAGCTGCCCACCCTCCGAGTCATCCCACTCTGCCACCAGCTCCTCCTTCACGTCTGAGGGGCTGGAGCCCTGCTCTGATGGGGATGCAGCCAGCGAGTGTAGTCAGTGCCATGAGGAGCCTGCCCAACTCACAGGTACTGCAGGGTGACCAGGGGCCACAACCACCTCTGGACATGCAGACTCAGCTGCTCGGGGTGTGCCAGGGTCCCCAGTGCCCCCAGAGAGAAGGGATCTCTGCTAGGCTGAGCCAGAGCCACGCTAACATCTCTCTCTCCTGTCTCTAGGCCATCACTTGGACTCCTTGTCCAAACCTGTTAGTGCCCCCTTGCCTGCTCTGGCCCCTGGGCTGTCCCCCTTCTTGTCTGCTGGGCCCCCCCTTCCCACGGCCCCACCGTTCCTGGGCTGCTGTGGGACCTCTGTCTGCTCCCTGGCTGAGGCACAACAGGAACTGCAGGTGCTCCAGAGGCAACTGGGAGAAAGTGAGCACGCTGCCTCTGCCTTGGGTTTGGTCCTGCCTGCCCTGCATGCTGTGCTGTGCCTCATCCCCTCCCACCCTCTCTGACCTGTCTGTCTTGCCCTGGACCTTCTGCTTCCTGGGGCTATGGCTTTGAGGTTGGGTCCCATCTCTCTGACTGGCGGACAATGGGAACATGTAGCTCTCGTGCAGAGAGGTCTTGGTGGGTGGAATGGACACAGCTGGAGGCAGTATTAGCCCTTGGTGTGGACACTTGGGTATTCCAGGGCCTCTGAGAAAGGGTGGTTGTGTAGGAGTGGGGCTGAGACCCTCCACCTTGTGTCACATAATCAGCAAGCTCTGGAAGAAACTCTGCTCTTTAGCGGGAATGGGCTTGGTCAGGGTGGGAGGTCAGGGGATGGGGGATCACCATGGGGGGGCAGTGGGCTGCACTGTTGAGCAGAGTGAGAAGGGGGCAAAAGCACATGATGGGAGTGTGTTGCCCCATTTTTTCCTCCCTGCTCATTGTCTTTCTCCCTGCTTTGCCCTGTGCATGGAGGTGTGGCACTGCCTGTGGCACCAGCAAAACCCACAGTCCCACTGGGCCCCTTCGGAGAGGGTGGCAAAGCCCCGTCATCGTTCTGCCCACACAGTGCCCTGCAGAGCCTGGCTGAGCTCCCCGGGGCCACCTCAGCCCGTGTCCTCTGGGAGGTACCCCCGCCCAGCCAGACACCTTACGGGACCCTGCCGTCGGGGTGCACCTCCAGCCACAAGCTAACAGGTACAGTCTGTGCTGGAGAGCACAGGGGCATCCTGCCTGCGTGTGGGGGAGCAGGGAGGAGATCCGGCACCAGAGTGACTGTGGGACATCACTCTGGCGTGGAGCAGGATAGCGGGGATGGCTTGAGGGAGGTGGCACTGCCATTCCTGCCCTGAGCCCTCTCCTTGGCTGTGGCAGGGGCAGACCTGCTGGAGGAACACTTGGTGGAGATCCGCAGCCTGCGCCAGCGCCTCGAGGAGTCCATCTGCACCAACGACCGGCTCCGGGAGCAGCTGGAACGCCGCCTGGCCTCCACCAACAAGGCCAGCGGTACGGGGCTGCACTGGGCCGGGGCTGCCGGGGTCCCAGGCTATGCACACCCTGCTGTATGGGGAGGGTGCTCACCCAGTGTACAGTGGGGCACTGGGGAGAGTGACTCAGCACTGGTCCCCTCTGCAGGATTGCCCAGTGATGTCTATGCCCAGACACCAGAGCTGGGGCTGCAGCTGAGTGGGGAGAACCAGGCTCTGCGTGAGGAAAACCGGACCGTGCGGCTCCAGCGTGACCACCTCTCCCAAGGTAGGGCTGGGCCACCAGCATCCTCAGTCCCAGAGGGCTGAGTGGGGTGGCGGTGACACCTCCATGTTCTCTGTCGGCAGAGTTGGTGCGGGTGCAGAAGGCACTCGTGTCTGCCTGCTCCCGGGCACGGGAGGCTGAAGCAGAGCTGGGCCAGAGGCGTGGGAAGCAGCGGAGGCTGGCAGAAGAGCTCGCTGAGTGCCAAGAGACTGTCCGGCAGCTCCGGGACGAGCGGCTCTCTCTGCAGGAGGACAACAATAGGTAAGGTTTGGGGCATTGTGACCTTGGGGCCACAGGACTGGGCGGCATGGCTGGCACCGGACGCACATGTCACCCTTCTGCAGGCTGCAGCACTCAGTGACACTCCTGCAGCAGCAGAGCGAGGAGCAGCGCCTGCTCCTGCAGACCCTGCGTGCGGAGCTGCACGTCTATGAGAGCCTCCCTGTCCCCTCTGCTGAGACACGAGCAGGTACGGGACCCGTGACCAGCCCCCTCAGCCCCTGGTCTTGGGGTGCCTGGCCCCTCTGCAACCCTTGGGTGGTTCTAAACACCCCTCCTGTCGTGGCAGCAGGTGGGACGTGGTGGCCCTGCTGGCAGGCAGAGAGGGAGGGCAGGACCAGAGCAGGCCCTGGCACAGAGCCACAGATGTCCACAGGGGCTCAGATGCTTCTTGTTCTAGGCTGCTTCCCATCTCCTCCAGTGCGGGATGTTGGCACAAACTCAGCAGCTCCCCTCTTCTCCCCGCTGCCCCCTGGCACGTCCGTGGTCCAGCGGATGGAGGGTGGGTACCAGAGCCTGACCAAACACAGGTCTTAGGAGCTGCTGAGACCTGATAAACTCATGGCAGCTCTCTTGCTGAGCAAGACCAGTGAGCTCAGGGCAGAGCCAAGCCTCCAGGATGGGATGGGGAGGACAATGAGGGGAGCAGGCAGGGTTCCTCACCTATCCGTGCTTGTTCCACAGAGCCGCGAGGGACAGACCCACTGGTGAGGAAGAGCGAGGTACCGATGGGGGCTCACGTCATCAGCCGCCTGGACACGTATCAAGCCCTGGAGCAGCACATTGTGGAGGGGAAGGCCTTGGCCCGTGAGCTGATGTGTCTCACACGTCCGGCGCTTGGGCTGCCCAACTGCCTGCTCACAAGAAAGGAGGTAAAGTGTGGGCAGGATGGGGCTGGCAACACCCAGGGGCCAGACCCTTTGTGCACCACGTGTGACACGGCTCCTGAGCATAGAATCAGCCCCGAGGCCTGCAGGGCTGGCAGGAGGCAGGGAGCCTCCAGCCTGAGGCCTGCTGCTGGCACTGCCCTACCACAGTGGGCTGGGCATGGCGAGTCCCCAGGTGCACTGGGATGTGGGTGCCCCAGCAGCACCTGCTCCCGCACCCTTCTCCCACAGGCCTTGGGATGGACGGGGACAGGGCAGGGACACCTGTGGGGCAGTGCCAGCACCCTGCACAGCATCCTGGAGGAGTGTGTGTCTCTCCTCACTGCCTTCTGGAGCACTGTGCTGCCCGTCAACCTCACTCAGCACCAGGGCAAGGTGAGCAGAGGCTGGGGGCTGGCAGGACGGTGGGGCTGGGTGCTCACTGCTCACGACATTCCTCTCCTCTCCGTGCTCCCAGGAGCAGGCACTACAGGGCGAGATTGCAGCGCTGCGGGCCCGGCTCTCTGAGAGGGAGGATGCCCTGCAGAGCACGGCCAAGCGGCTGCGCAGCACAGCACAGCTCAAGGACAGCATGGAGCACTTCATCGTTAGCCAGCGTATGTGGCCCCAGTGGCACGGCCAAGCTGGCCTGGTCCCCAACTACCTGGGGTGGCTCCACAGCAGAGGGACCTCACTGACACCATCTCTCTCTCCTCTGCAGTGACCAGGACCCACAACGTGCTGCGCAAGGCCAGGACGAACCTGGAGGTGAGTTTGCCCTGGCAGCCAGTGTGGGATAGGGATGGGTGTCTCTGTCCTAGTGAGTCCTGATGGCCTGGGGATGGGCACAGGTGACACACCCTGCGGTGGCTGACCGGCCAGCTGGGTGCAGTAGTGTGTTCTAGGGGGGCACACATTTTTGTTGTCTATCCGCAGCCTGTGTGTCCACGCCCCCAGGGCACAGCAGCTCTCCCTCTTACTGCTATGTGTGGTCTCTTGCCAGGTGAAGGCCCAGCAGGCCCTGCCTGTCGCTTGAACCCCAGGCAGGGCAGGGAGCGATGGCCCAGCCTGGAACAGCCCGCTGGCTGCTGACTCATGCCATGCCAGAGGGCTGGAGCAGACTCTGTCCCTGCTACTCGGAGGGCTGGGGTGGACAGGGGGCTGGGGTGTGCTACACTGTTAGTGGGTTTGGGCTGCTGTGGTGATCGCATGCCCTTCACCAGCCTTTGCTTGGCATTGCAGCAGCAGCTGCTGGCTTGGGCTTTGCCTGCCCCATGCTTCAGTGCTCGCCCCCCTCCACCCTTGAGTGTTCAGTGGGATGACAGAGCCCTCTGCACTGAGTACCCCTTGCCCTGGGACCTGGTCCCACCTGTAACCCTGCTGAGTACCTGTCCCTGACCATGGATGTATGTATATGTATATAGACAGAGGTATTGGAACTGCATTTTGGGGGCTTCCCAGGCATGCTGGGGCCCCAGAGCGGGAGGAAGATGTAAGAAATGCCATATTGTGTTCAGTGGCTGAAGAGTCCCCAATAAAGGTTACCTTTGGGTTGTGGTGTTTCTGGCATGCCCGTCTCTGCAGCAGTGCTGCCCCTCCCCAACCTCCCCCAGCACAGGGTGCCAAAGGCACCAGCTGGCCCCAAGGGGGTGGCTCTGTGCCCCACCCCAGCACCCCTAGAGCAGCTCTGTGCCCCACTGGGTGCTGCCTTTCCTGCTCTCGCTGTTTCAGAGCCCCCCTCCAACAGCAGGCAAGCAGCCTCGAGAACAATAAATACTGTAATAAATAGAGAAATCCCTGTCCCGTGGCACTGCTGCGGCAGCAGGCGGTGCAGCCAGGGTCCTGGGGTGCCTGCCCGGCTCTGCTCTCCCCAGACCCTTCAGCGTGGGCATGTGCCAGTGCCCCTCTGGCTGAGATGAAGTCAGCTCTGTCCCATAGAAGCACTGAGTGCTGGGGACAGAGCAGTCAGTCCTTGACGGTGCTGTCCCAGCGGCAGGTAAGCGTGGCTGTGTCTGGCTGAACCTTCCACCCTGCTGGCTCGATGCTGAACCTGGCAGAGCTGAGAGCCCTCCTCAAAGCTGGGGGACAGCCCCATAGCCAGGGCTGTGGGACGGGGCAGGTAGCAGGCTGGAGTGTCACAGAGCCCCTCGTGATCATGGTGGCCTTTGGAAACTCAAGACCAAGACAGCAGAGCAACCTTCAGCAGGTAGGACACGTTCCTGGAGGCCTGGGCTGAGGGCAGTGCTAGGATCACCTTGGGGCCCTTGCAGGCCGGAGAAGACAGGCAGGGTGAAGCCCTTTCCGTGTTGGGCGTGAGAAAAGGCTGTTCTGGTGAGCAGCAAAGTGGTCCCAGAGACTCACAGAAGCCTAGGGGAGCTGCAGGTGGGCGGAAACCAAGGGCTAAATCAAACCACGCCAGTAGGATGAGACAGTGTCACAGGCCCCAGTGGCCCCGGGCTCATCGCCAGGGCCTGTGTCCCTGCCAGGTTTGAGGCTGGAGCCAGCGGCCAGTTCTCACACAGTCCCGTGGCCCAGTGTGTGCAGACAAAGCGGCGTTTCGTGTCCTGCGTGGAGGGTGGGCGAGGCCCTGGCTCAGATGGGCTTGTACAGCAGCGTGGTGACGTACTTCTTCTTGTAGCGGTGCGTGGCGCTGAGCACCATCACGCCGTCCTGCGAGAGGCACAGCGTCAGCGGGGGCAGCCCTTGGGAACAGGGCTCTGGGGGCTCAGGGAGCTGCCCCAGCCCATCCCTGCTGTCCCGAGTCTCACAGCCTGTGAGACACATCCAATACACAACAGGATGCCAGGGCAGAGGGGCTGGTTTGGGGCTGCTCAGCTCCACCATGGCGCAGGTAGGCAGTTGAAGGGAATTGTAAGGAAGCCACAACCTCCACCCCTGCACGTGCCACACTTCAGTGGGCAGCCATGCTGCCCTTGCATGGGTCCTCTGGTCCCATCTCCCCCCCAGCTGTCCAGGTTCTGCTCCCGGCAGGTGCTGCAGGCTCCTGGAAGCCACAGCAGCTCCCATTCCCTCCCCCAGCAGCCAAGTGGGACCTGTGCTTACCTTGATGGAGAGCGCGTAGAGGTGATTGAGCATGACGTGGTTGGGTTCAGGCAGGAGTGCTGGGTCACACTAGGAGGAGAGAAGTGTCACAAGGGAACAGCAGAGCCCTGATCTCCCAGCCCTAGCTAGCACAGGGAGCTGCTGTCTCAGGCAGCTAGAGCTTGCTGGTGCTTCTGGCTGTTCTGAACAGGAACAGAGCTCAGCTAAGCACCAGGAGGCCAAATCAGAGTGGCTAATGGGAAAAGTGATGCTTTCCCTAGGAAATGCCAAAGGCCAGGCCCCAGCCAAGGGGAGATCAGGCTCCCTGCAGACAGGACTCCCCTTCCGCCCCCAGTGCAGCTCTCTGTGTGGTCACTGTGCTGGTACGCACCGAGATATTGGTGTCCTTGTTCAGGATGACCTGGAGGAGGTGAGGCGGGAGGATGGGTGGGGATTTGAAGCGCTCCTCAGGCCGGTATACGTACATCTCCTGGCCGTAAGGTCCAGGTGGTGAGCTTGATAAGTCTGGAGAGAAGAGAAAGGAGGAGACATGAAATGGATAAAGCAGGATGGAAGAGCACAGAACGGTATCCCAGAAGCTGAGAAGGAGCCAGCAGGACCTTTCAGGCACAAATATCTTCCACAAGCCATGGCCAGGTATCTATCCTTTTGCAACAGTTAAGCCTTTTCACAGCAGAAAAAGCAGCCAAGTGAGCCCTGGGCATTACCAAGCAGGGCTGTAAGCTGGTCCATGCACTGACACAGCACAAGCACCCTGTGGTACCCACCACAAGAGCCCTGCACATGTTCTCGGTCCAGCCAGGTCCTTCTCCCACAGGAAGCAGCTGGCTCGTCCCAGGGCTGTACCCTTGGCAGCAGGGACACAGGGATCAGTTTGCCTGCATGCTCTTTGTACTGCAGGACTGCCTGATGAGGGGGTCCAGGAAAAGCAAATGGAAACTCTAGACTGAGCAGCTGTTCCACACATGGGAGGGACCACAGGAGCTTGTGGTCACTGGAAGCTGGACTGGCCGCATCTCCCAGCTATATCTGATCTGATAATTTTGGAACAGCCAGCACCCAGAAGGGCTCCATCTCTCTGAGCTGCTGCTGCCTGCTGGCTTCTCTCCAGCAAAGTGCCACTTGCCTGGGCTGGGAAAGGACATGGAGCTGAGCTGTATCTGAGATGGGGTTGTATCAGGGACCAACACACGACTGAGCTGCCTGCCAGCATTACACACCAAGCCAGCACTGCCGGTGCCTGCATGGTAACCTAACCTGCTGCTGTAACACAAGCAGAGAGGGAGGTCTGCAACATGCTACCACTAGTACAAATTACCTTGGCGTGAAAACTAAGAGTAGCTGCTGAAAATAACCTGGATCCTGCTCTCACCTAGCTTGTACCCTGGATCAGATGACTTACAGTTGCTCAGACAGACAGGGCTGATGTTCCCAGCGTTCACCAGTCCAAAACGGCTCCCTCAGCCGGCTCTGCTCCAGTGCTAGCACAGAACAAGTTACACCAGCACAACCCCTCCAGAAAGACGAGGCCTCAGCTGTGGGCTGCTGAGGATATGGTGCCAAACACTATTCATCCTGAATGCAGGCCCACACCTCTGCCCAGAGGGTCTGCTCACCCCAGAGCAGCAAGTCTCAAAGCAGAGGAGGTGGAAAACAGCACATGCAAAGCTGTAATGCCACAAAACTCACCCCGACCTGAGGTTTCTGAGCTCTCCAGGGAATCCACCTTCAGTGCATCGAACACCTCGAAGTCAGACTTCTTGACGTGGATTAGGTTGTTAATCGTCCCCATCTGGCTGGTGACCACGGGCTGCAGAGAACTGAGGTAAGAATCTTCCTGTGTTCACCTCCAAACGAAGCACACTCAATGCTTCCCAGATCCTCCCAGCCCAAGCTGTCTTCGCTGCACCACTACCTCAGGGCACATGTGGCTGGTGTCTAGCTCTGCTCTGTGCTTGTTTATCCTGGGAGGATTTCCCTTTACTCCTAGGCTCCTATATCACCTCCTGTTTTCATCCTCCATCCTGTTACATGGGTGTGTTCTCCTTGCCATGCTGCTACCACATGATTCAGTTTGGAGAACCTGCAAGTAAGTGATGACCCCATGGCTAATCTTTCCATGTAGACAAATTCCCAATGGGATTTAAAGGCCTTCTGGCATTTCCCTGCCCTTCCCCAATGCTTTCATAATCATGATTAAGTCTAGAGGAATCAGCCTCTGACAGGACTCAGGGGATGGAGGTGCCCCTTTTAATTTGGCAGATGACCTCCTCTTCTTCCTGTTCCCTCTTTTGCAGTTACATCCTGTCTAGTTCCCAGAAGAAGACAAGATTTTCAGGGATAAAGCATTGAGTGTTACCTCAGATGGGTCGTGGACCCACTGGCCATCCACAAAAAATTTGTACTGGTGCTCTCCTTCTGGGAGATCCAGGATAGCAACGAAGTCGTTGTGGCTGTGCAGAGAGAAAAGACGTGCAACAGGATTACCCTGTTGACGCTCTGGATGCTGCACTTCCACGGGGCCCCAGGAATCAGCACTGCCCAGCCCCTCTCACCCCAGCATCTTCCTGTAGGGTTAGGCTTGCTCATCGTCAGTGACCTGAGGCATGGCCACAACAGGCACGAGCATTCCAAGCACTAGCATGGCTCAAACCCCTGGGATCCCAGCTGCAAGGAGAGCAGGAGGCAGTCCAGCCATCCAAGCCCAGAGGCAGTGGATGTGACAGGCACCTTGTGCAAGGCACACTGGGGAGGATGCGTGGGCAAAGCTCCTGGACCTGTGCTGACATGGCAGGACGAGAGCAAGTGAGGCAGCTCTGTTTGTGAAGTCTGCAATTCCGGAAGAATTGCTAGGAGTCCTACACAGAGCTTCCATGTAAATCACAGACTTGCTGCAGAACAGCAAGAACATCATTAGGGCAGAAAGACATGTGAGGGACAACCAACCAACCCCCACTGGCAGCAATACAACTAGGCATGGGGTAAAGCAACAGCCAAGGGAAGAGCTGGCAGCTTTCAGAGCACTGCTGCATACCTGGGCAGGGCTCTGCTGTCAAGACTGACTCCTGCATGACATACAGCTGGGCAAGCACAGTGGCCTATCCTGTCCTGTCCCTCTGTTTCACAACTTCCCACAGTCCCTGCAGGACCATCAGGGAAGGAGCTGACTATGTATTTGTGCTCAGACTCCCAGCATAGATGAACGGGAAAAGCCAGGTGAGCAAAGGGAACAGCGACCAGCACAGAGAAGGGAAAACATTCCCTGCAATGGAGCAGAGGAGCATATAGAGTGACCTGAAGGACTGGCTACCTCTTGATGAGTGGGATCTTGGTGCTCCAGTTGTTGAAGGATCCAGAGATGAAGACCTCTTTGCCTCCATCAGCCCAGCGGATGACAGTTGGACGAGCCTGTTGGGATGGTTTCACTGACTCCTCTAGATCTGGCTGCCATGACACAAACTCCTTGTCCCCAGGAATCTGAGCAAAGAAAACCAGAGCCTGACTAAGACACGAAGACAACCATGAACACATTCGCTTCCCCCTGGCCTCTACCACCACGCCTGCACATCCCAGACAGGAGCACTGCAGAGCTCCTCCAGCCTCCCAGCTCCCCACAAACCCCTCACGAGGCTGGGAGCACAGCCCCCCACAGCCAGTGAGCTGAAGCTGCAGAGCAGAGACAGGGAAGGGAGCAGCCAGCCCCTACCTTGGAGTCATGGGAGCTGAAAACACTGGGGTCATCAGTGCTGCCCACCATGATCTTGTGCGGGTGCTCCTTGGTGGGGTGGGAGGCACCGGAGCCGTCCGAGCGGTGGGACTTGGAGACATGGCGCTCCCCGGACACTCGCTCGCTGGTGGTATTACCCATGACAGCTCAGCAGCCCCTGTGGGAGAGAGAGAACAACACTATATCTGTGCATACGGGCTCTGGCAGTGAGGAGAGGAGCAAAGGCGACGTTTCCCAATGCTCTTTGCCAGCGGAGATGGACAGCAATCCTAAAAAAGGCCCCAAGTTCATTCCCACTACCAAGTTTGGGAGCTGAAGGCTCCACAAACAAGACAGCTTGAATTAATTATAGCTGTTCCTTAAGAACCATCACTCTAGTTAAGCTGGTAATTGTTAAGACTCCAAAAACGATACTAATTCACCTATGTCTCACATCAGCCCTCAGCAGCCAGCAGAGTTGAGGGGCTGATGGGAAAAAAAAAGCCAACCCTTACTGGCAAATCATTGCTTGGCGTTAACAGAGCCTCTTTCACAGTCCCCCAGTCAGGCTCTACAGACAAATCCCCTACATCCAGCCAGAAAACAACCAGAGAGTGAAAGTAGCAGCTGTTTTACAGCTCCCCACAAGTCTCCAAGAGCTCACAGGCAGAAGAGCAGAGTCTTGCGCCTGGCAAAGATGACAGGGAGCATTTAAAGTGTCCGAGTGGAATCGCCCAAGCTGGAGCTTGTCCAAGGAGTGGGGCTAATGTTGTGCTGTCTGCAAAAAGCTCTCAGCAGCACTCACTTATGATTCACCAGGCAAGCCACCGTGTCAGCTGCAGCACAGCACAGCGAGGAGGTCCGCTTGTTGTGACTGAACCAGCGGCACCACCCCGAGCACTCCGGCATCTGCCTGGCTGTCTGGAGGCACACAATGAGGGAAGGGCAGCCCCAGCCACCTCAGTGTCCCCCTGCAGCTGGAGATGGGCCTCCATCCCCAATCTCACCCAGCTCAGAGAAAGCAAAACAGGACAACTGACCAAGCCACAAACAACTCTTGGGACAAACAACAAAGCCACCGCAAGCTACACAGGACTCTTCAGGCCTTACCCAGTTCTCAAGGGCTGAGATGGATTGGGGTTCTCCTGCTTTCCAGGCTTATTTTGCAGCTTTCAGCCTACTGTGGGCTCTGTGGAACAAGGCAAGGGGACAGCCAGCCTTGTTTCATGTGCTCACTTGTGACATTTGGAGGTTTGTTTAGAAGATCAAGTTATACGAAGGGTGCCAGGCAAGGCTGCCAGCCAAAGCCAGGCTTTAGAACATTACGAGGCAATTACTGAAGTATTTCTTAAATCCTGAAGGCTAAAAGGCAGCTCAAGAGGGCAGCTAACCCACACCTTCACCCTTCTCAGTGCAGATCAAGTGTATCTGATGATCCAGGTCAGGGGAGCTGTACCTCTTGCTCTGACATTTTCCCCTCTGCTCTGAGGAGGCTCAGCCAGCTCCTCACAAAAACTGCCCCTGTGCCACTAACCTGTTGTTGAGGAGTTTTCTCCCCAGTACCTCCACTAAGGATCCCTCACTTCTTATCAACAGGGAGGAAGGCAGGAAAGGTCGAACATTCTCTTGTACCAGGACAGACAGACTCGAGAGATACATGGAGGTGTTAACAGATGGGAAGCTTCCGTTTCTCTTCTCTAAAAGGAATCCAGTCCCTCTGCCCCTTACAGGTCACGCTCTCCAAACACCTCCTGAGGTTTATCCCAACCGGTGTCTCCTTTCTGGTGTGTGCCACCTGAATCCCCTGCATCGAACACACAGGCACCCTGCTTGTGCTGGGACAGCAGCCTGTGGTATGTGGCTTTGCTGAATCAACTTCTACAGCTCAAACCCTCCTTGCAGCTGCACCCAGACCAGCCCTTGTAGCACGGCACGTTGTGACGGTGTGACACGGGTACGTCCGAGTCACAGATGGCAGCGCTGCCCACACCAGAGCCCAAGCAAAGCTCCGCGGCGTCTCGGCGCATCGGCTCCCAGTTTGGCAGCGAGCCCCTGCCAGCCGCAGCCGCAGCGAGGAGGGTGCCTGCCTGCCCCATCGCAAGGCCCCTTCGGCTCCAGCCAGCCCCACCTCCCCACTCTGAAAACGACAAGCGAAATACACCAATTCCCGCCGGGATCTGTCCCGCTCGCTGCCTCTCCCCCTGGCCGGTGCCCCGCACCGGGAGGCACTGTGCGGCACCCGAGGGGTCTGTGCACAGGGACGTGTGTCTCTGCCCGGCATCCCGCCGGGACGGCACCTCTCGGGGCTGTCGTGGCCCAGGGAAGCCCGATCCGCCCGGGCTCTCCCTCCTCCTGAGGTTGCCGTAAGGTTAAGGGGATGAGCTGCGAAAGTGGGGGAGGAAAATCTCCCTCCGAGCAGGCAGGGCTGGGGCAGTGGCGGGGCTGCCACGGCGGGTTCGGCCAAACCACCCGCGGCTCTGCCGTGGCCCACGGGGAGAGCGGGACGCACCGGCAGGGACGGGGCCCTCCCGAGGGGCTGCGAGCCGGGGTTTGCACCGGTGCGGGCTCCGGGACACGATCACACCGCTACACCGCCCGGCCGTGCCCGGCCCACCGCCCCCCGCGGCGCCGCCCGGCCAGCCGCCACCATCACCGCCACCCACCCGGGACACCCCGCCGCCCCCGGGCCCGGCCCCGGCCCGACCCCACCTGCCGCCGCCGCCGCCCCGCTCTCCGCCTCCGTCCAAGATGGCGCCACCCCCCGCCGGCCGCTGCGGGGCGCTCTGGCCCGCCCCCGCCCCGCTCCGCGGCCGCGCCCCGCCCCGGACCCGCGGCCCCGCCGCCGGGCACCCGCCATGTTTACTGAGGGCGGCTCGACCCGTTGTCGCTAATCGTGCCCGGGCGGGCGGGCGCGGGTCCGCTCGGCTTCACCCCCGCCGGCGGCCATGTCTGCTTAGGGCAGGGCGGTGCCGGTGCCGGGGATATTTGGGGGGCTGCGGGCAGCGAGCAGGTGGGGTGCTGCCCGTGGGCTGGGCAGACGCCTCAGAATAGACCCCACAGACTGAGACAGCCAAGCAGTGTGGTCCGTGGTCCCCTTCGGCATAGAGACAAGCTTTATTGTCCTTTTCCTGAGGCGCGTTCCCGGTTTCCCCACCACCTCAGCGTGACCTAACCCACAGACACAGCTTGTGGTGCTGCCGGGCCAGGATTTAGGAGAGGGAAGTGACCCCCGTCCTCAGAGCAGCCCGCGACCAGGACTTGCGTATCCCTGGCACAGCAGGAAGACAGGACAGACCGGGCTGCACCTTCAAGGAAGGACTCCCTCCGTGCCTCCGGGCGTGGCGGCACACCTAGCAAGGGGCATCAGACACATGCCCAAAGGAAAAGGAAAAGATTGCCGGGACGACCCGCTGTCTCCTTCACTTTAGGCTAAGGAGAGCGCGAGCCGTAGGCGAGGATGGCCGCAATCACGCCGAGGATGCCGAAGAGGACAGTGAGGATGCGGGACAGGGCGCCGGGGCGGGCGCTGCCCCGGGGCTGCAGGGCTCGGACCACCCGCTGCCGCTGGGTCAGGATGGCCTCCCTGGCACCCGCCCACGCACCCGGGCCCCGCAGCCGGTACTGGTACGGCGTGCAGGGACCGAAGGCCACCTCCAGAGCCAGCTTGGGGTCCGTGAGGAACAGGGTGAGCAGGTTGGGCTTTACCCCCAGCTGGCAGGCGAGCTCGTCCATGTAGGGGATGTAATCCACCTGGATGGTGTGCCGCTGGCTCTTCACGTACCTGTGGGCGGGCAGGAAGGGCAGGCGGGTTTGGCACATGGGCACGGGGCTAAGGGTGGCAGAGGTGATGCTGTGCAGGGTCCTTACCGCTTGGCCATTTGGTCCTTGGTCCGTGAGATCTCAGCCAGCATGTTGGCAAGTGGCGGCAGGTCCTTCAGCCCTGGGGAAGAGGAAGCTGCAGCTGGAGGGAGGGCTGTGCTCCCACGGCTGTCTGGATGGCTCAGCCAGGCCTCTGCTTGCACATGTAAGCCTTTAGGGCTTTGGGGAAGTGCCGCCACCTCAAGAGCAACGTGGGAGGCATGGGCAAAGAAAGTAATGGTTGGAAAGGAAAGGGAGAAGGTGGTTTGCAGGCAACAGGACCTATTAGTGGCCTCCATAAGAGACAATCAGTGCAAGACTTGTTGCAAAATACAACACTGGTTTTTGTCCTCATGAAGAAGCAAAAGGACAATAAAAAGGTGAGTGTGGGGAGGCAGCATGTGAGGGGATAACACCTTGTTCTTGGTGTGGCTAGGGAAACCTGGCTGCATCCCCCCAAACTGCCTGACTTACCCTTGAAAACTTGTGTGGCCCAGCGACACTGGAGCTCGGAGATGGGCATGATGGCACCCAGGGGCTGGATGAGGCCAATGAAAGCCAGTGTTGGCTTTTCCAGCTCAGGGGGGAACATGAATTTGTAGAGGGAGATCTGGTTCTCCACCACCTTCACGCACCCCTCGAGGAAAGGGAAGGAGAAGCTGTATCCTGTGGCGAAGACCACGGCGTCGATGTTTTCCCTGGTGCCATCCTCAAAGATGGCAGATGTCTCTGTGAACTCCTGGATGTTCGGCTTCACCCGCACCCTGCCCGAAATGATGCGGTTGGGTAGGTCATCGTTGACGGTCGGGTGCTGGTCAAAGATCCTGGAAGGCACGGACAGACCTTGTATGGGCTTGGGCAGTGGGACGGGCAGCAGGATGGGCATTGCTGGGACAGGTACCCGGAGTGCTGCCGGGGCACTCACCTGTGCTGGGGCTTTAGGCCGTAGAGTGTGTGGTCAAAGCGGGCGTTCAGCTTCCTCTCCATGAAAGAATTGATGATGTTTTGAGGCAGCAGGCTCTGGAGGAGCTGCTTGAAGCGGCTGAGGTTGCTCAAGTCAAAGGGGTACCCACTGTCCGCCACCCGGTGTAGCACCCAGGTCCCACGCTTGGTGCTGAGGAAAACCTGGGAGAAAAGGAGAAGAGAGGTGGCAGCATGGCAGCATCCTGAGACCAGGCTGGACCGTTGCCATGCTCTGGGGACAGGGATGCCAGCACAGTTGCTGAGACCACAGTAGACACCACCACTGAGAGGGGATGCGGTGGGTGCTGGAGGGAGGGGAGTGCACAGGGGGTGTGGGGGGGATGATCAGTGCTCTCCCAGATCGGGGTCTGAATAATAAGCACCCCATCCCTGTTGGCTCTCCCAGCAGACCTGTTTGGCTGTGTTGCTCAGCTCCACTGCGATATCGACGCCTGAGTTCCCGGTGCCAACCACGACCACCCGCTTTCCCAAAAAGGACTGTGGGCTCTTGTAGTCCCGGCTGTGCAGGTACCAGCCCTCAAACTTTTTCAGCCCTGGAAGAGAGAGGGAAGCCATGCTGGGCTGGGATGTGGGGCAGGAGAGTGGCGGCCCCCTGATCAGATCGGTAGTATATTTTGGGAACAGGCTGGGACCAGCCCTGGGGTAGTGCCCAGAAAGGCAGTGGCATCTCCAGCCTTGGAGTTTCTCAGTGTGGTCCTGAGAATCCTACTCTGGCTTTGGGGCTAGCCTAACTTGGAGCAGCTTGAACAGGATACTTTTGTGCTTCGATACCAAAATCCTCCTGTGGTTCCTGTCTGGTGCCATGTACTGAGACTAGAGCAGCAGCTGGGGTTTGCGCCATATCACCAGACCCTGGTGATGGTGTCCTCCTGCCTGTTCCCCAGCCAAAGAGGGTCTCCACAGCTGAAAGCCCTCCAGGCATTTTTGTCTGGCACCCAAAGGAGAAGGCCAGCATGAGTGCTGAGCTCTTAAGCTTGGTGAGGAGCTGGAGAGCCCAGCATGTGCTTGGCCAGCAGTGTGGAGAGGGAGCCTGTCTCTGGTGGGAGAGGTACACTGGCAGCAGTGACATCTGCCAGCAGGATGCTCTGGGTGCTCAAGCAATCCCACCTGGTGTGTTGAAACTTCAGAGGCATTTTTGGTTGCACCCAGAGCAGGGTGGAGGCTGAGCTGGAGAGGAGGGTGGTCCCAGAGATGTCAAGGACCAGGCGAGCAGCCTGTGGGGCAGTACCTGGGAAGGTGTTCAGTGGGAGATGTGCATCAGTGTGGTGCCCGCTGCACACCAGCACGGCGTCGAAGACAGCCGCCTCCTGCTTCCCCTCGCTCTCCGTCACCACCTCCCACTGGCCCGTGGTGGCAAAGTCGGGGCACTTGGACACGCGGCACACGCTGGTCTGGGTGCAGGGGGAGTGGGTGTCAGTCACCCTGCGCCCCCTGGCCCCGCTGCCACCACCCCCTTGGCCCCCCAGCTCTCACCCTGAAGCGGATGTGGCGGAGCAGGTCAAAGTGCTGAGCGTACATGCGGAAGTACTCCATGATCTTGGAGTTGTGCATGTAGTTGGGGAAGTCCTCGGGGATGGGGAAGTCGCTGAAGCACATCATCTCCTTGGAGGTGTTGATGATGACGGAGCGGTAGATGCTGGCACGGCC